TTCCCATTCAATATGGGGCTTTCCTGCAGATTTTCCCTTAAACCAATCCATTGAAAGGTGGGCAAAAAGATCAAACCAAAGCCTAAAAAGAGCAACGTTGTACCCCCGGCCCCGGCCAAAAAAAAAAATGACCCTCTGGTAATTTGACGTAGCTATTGAAAATGGCCATACAAATAGTTGATTTGCCCATTTAAAATGGTGATGTTTGATAGTTATGTTGGTTTACCAGAGGGTATTAAAAATGATGTTATGTTTTAGCGGCATGGTTGGCTCCGGTGGACAAACGAACCAAACCCTCCACACAAACCAACGTATCCAATCATATATTTAGGGAGTGTGGGGTTGTTCTTAGCTGGCCTTTTCAGGGCTTGATGTTTTTGTCCATCTACTGTAGTATTGGGTCCAACTGAACCATGGTTGTTGCTGATATGTGGTTTTGTTGTTTTCGTTATTAGGCCCAATTTGCAACCCTGAGAACAAGTTTGGAGAAACTATCGCGACATATCGCGACCTTAGCCACGACCAATGGTGGTTGCGAGGTCAATTTTGCTACATTTAGGCTAGGTTAGGAAGGCATTTTAATCTCCCCCCCAAGGGTGCGGGAATACACATGTGTTGTGACTTTTCTATATATATATATACATACAGTAATAGCCTGAAACCACAAACGATACCTCATTGTTGTGGAAATGCGAAGATACACGCATCATGAAAGACAAACTGAGAAATATATGGAGGTCTTGAATGCAACGAGTATGTTCCGGAAAAAAAAAAAACTCACCCGAAAAAAAAAGAAACACATAATTCTCCACCCATTTTGAATAGAGCCAACCCTTATTCATCCTGGCTTTGCACCCTGAACCACGTGGCTTAGCACAAGCCACAGGTGCATTTGTCCCGGAATCGGCCCTGTTGGGGAGCCTCGGAACCGGCGGAGTTGTCACCATGTGCAGTGGGGATACCGATGATTTTACCTGGTTGGTGGTTTGGAATATTTTTTCCCCATATATTGGGAAGAATAATCCCAACATATCCCAACTGACTAATATGTTTCAAGATGCTTAAAACCACCAACCAGATTTTCATGGATTTTCCATTGCCACTTTTGGTTACCGGAGGGTAACTTGTACTGAGATTATGTGGCCGCCTACCACTTATAAGTCAAGCAGGGTTGCACGATGTCACAGCGTATCACCCAGCCCTGCAGTTCCTTTGACTCTTCAGTCAAAAAAAATCTATGCTGAGCTCATACCAAATCTCTCTACAAATATGCTCATAGAATTGGATGAGGGGAAAATTTACAGGAAACCCCTATATTTGATGGTAAAAACCATGGTTTCCTGTGGATTTTCCCTTAAACCAATCCATTGATATGCGCGCACACACATACATACATATATAGCACGACAGCATAGCCTTGTTTCCCGTGAGCATAGCTGGGGATTTCCAAGTGCTGCACCTGCTCCTGCTTTTTTCCAAGAATCAATTGCAGTTTTCACGGAAAAAGACGGGACAGCCCTGGTCTCAACATCAAGACTCAGGCGTAGATGTTCTTTCAAAGTTCCCTTAAGATTCTCAAACGATATCCGGCAATTTTAAATGGTAGGCATTCAAAACATCTAAGATCATTTAAGTATGAGAATTCTAGGAAGTTTGCAAGAAATTCCGTGACTTGTTTTCCTTTGGGAGGAAAATAGGTCGCCTTGCCTTCAGGCCATTTGCTGCACAGGGTCTGCCAAACGAGGAGCCGCAGCGTTGAACCTCCGGGATGCTGATGGGGAGAGAAAATTCCGAAGGATTGACACCAAATGTATCCAAATGTTCAAATCTAGGATATATATATATTTAATATTATATATATATATACATGGATATATAGCCATATATTATAGCCCATGTTTGGGAAAATGAAATCTGCGAGTGGGCTCGGTCACAGCCATTTTACAGAGGTGGCTCCTCAGGCTCCATGGTGTTGGGGGATGGAAATGCAAATTCTACCATTCTGGCAGCCATTTGAAAGTGCTTTTTGAAATAAACCAAGGTAAAAGTGAACTTTATTGTTGGCTTTACCAGATTCAAACACTAGCCCCGAGTTTTTCTTGTGTCCCTGACATAGCGTCTTTTCATCCCTGGCCATATGCGGCTGCAAAAGGAGCAAGACTTGCCCAATCTCTTGCAGCCGCGCACTAAGAGAATCCAGGTGGTCCTGTGCAAATAGTGAGCCCTGGCTAGCTACCATCTTCAAACATGGCTGGAAAATCCCCTCATTAGGTCCATTTAGTGTGATGTTTCATAATATCCCATTCAAAACGCTTTGTTTATAGTGTGTTTTTCCACATCTTCCATCATTTTCCCATGATTTTCCCATATTTCCAGGATGATGTTCCCACGTCTGAGGCATCACTCTGACGTGAAGGGGACGAGCGTCCAGGCGGATGGGATGAAGGTTTTGGCCCTAAGTCATGGGCCCTAAGTCACCGTGGGTGTCCCTAAGTCACCATGGGTTTCAATACTGAGTCATGGGTTGACTAACTTGGATGATTTGTTATAACATGGTATAACTATTTTAGAAGAGCTCCATGGATAGAATCTGGGTATGACAACGACCTTATTCCGCCAGGTCCTGGCGCCTCCGGTGGGCGGCGCACCAGGCACTTGAATTTGTTGGGGCCACTGGAAGGATCTCTTGCCCCCTGCAGTAAAGGAAGAGTTTGCCATGGAAAATGAACCATTTCATTAATCATTTATAGATGATTTACCCATTAAAATATAGTGTTATTTATCTATAGCTATAGCTATCTTGGTTTACCAGAGGGTGATATGACATATCCCCCCAGAAACCATGATGTCATATTGGATCCATTCATTTGGGGAACCATATGGGGGTATTTAAATCTGAATCTATATATTCAACATTAGGGGGAAGGGACCGTTAACTTATTTATGGTTGTTTTTGACCATGATTTTTTAGCCCAGTTACATAGTGGATAACCTAAAAAACGAATCTGGGACTTGCTAACCAGAGTCATTTACCAGTTACTATATATGTGGGGAAGCCCGCAACCCTTGTTGGTTCATTGATCGTTCAGAGTTCAGACCGGATTTTGTGCTACTGAGATTGGCGGTGTGCAGCAATTTCAAGACAGCGGATGCTCTAACGACGTAATGGTGTTCCTCTTTATTTAGCAACCCCAACAAGATTTCAAAGACTTGGAAACTGGTAAATTACGGAGAAAAACAAAAAGCATTGTTCACATCCTGGAAACCGGTTTCTATCAGTGGTTACTATATAACTTATATAATTTTTCCATGTCTGGATGTTGGGCCTCTGTTTTCTTTGCAGCACTGAGGGCCTTCGACTTTGTCTTGTCCTTGGTGAGACCGAGAGCATTTTGGGGCGGGTCCTGTGAAGTTTCCTTAACCCATGCCAGGATACATCATTACAAAAGCATATAGAATTACTGTAGATTAGATATCTTCATTGGAAGTTTATATTCAATGTCATCCCCGGGTTTTTGTTTCCCTGAATTGGTTCCTTAGGTCAAATTGAACAAGTAATATAGTAATATAAGTAATATATAAGCTACATGCTGGATCCTGCGAAAAGGGCCAGCATGGCCTGTGTAGGCTGGGATTCTTAGTGGAGAGGTATCATTGTGCGACATGGTAGAATTGGTCGGGCAGAAAAATGTGAAATTAATAGAAGATGATAGAAGGGTATCTTCTTTTAGTTGTGAAGGCATTGGTGCTCTGAATTTATGTGTGCGTTCCTTCTGAGTGAAACCGCGGTTCATTCATTCCTTTTTTTTGCCTCTGGTATTCAAACATGGCTGGAAAATCTCCCAGCCTTAGTTTGATTCACATCGTTTGATGCCCATTTCGTTCCGGAGGTTTGCAGCGGCCCGCCATGTTGACACCAGAGGGTTTTGTGGATTTGGAGCTGCTTCTGCTGGGCCTTCCAAAATTCTTGGCTCCAGCTATCTCCAGCTAGTCCTGCTGAAAACTACAGGAGTTGGCCCCCGGGCTTGTCCCAGATTCCCAGGACCTTGGGAGATCAGGGATTGAGGGGACCTAGCGCTGGGTCTAGGTCCACGCCTATGTAGTTCGAAATAAAGATCTGCAACTCATGATCCGTCGGGCCTTTGAAGTTGCCAGAACTCATGAGATTATGTAAACATGTAAAGTCTGCATGCAAACCGCGTACATATTACATGTGTTTCATATATTGTTCACATGTTGTATAGATGGTTAGGTAGCTAAATGTTGGCTACTGTACATCCCGCAGACATGTGGTAGCGTACATTGTACCATCCCATTCTTGGTGATCATAGCCAGATCCAGCATGATCCAGCCATGGTTTTGCAAAAAAAAAACTCAGCATTTTCAGCTATCGGCCCAAGAGCTTCGCAATCGCCACAAGCGCAAGAGAAAGCCAGCTTGCTTTCCATCCCCTGTCCGTGGGAGCCTTAGGGCCTGGGATGGGAGCTTTGCTTGGCAGTGGCCCCAGGGGAGCCTTTGTTTTTCAAAAAAGATGAGAGCTGTGGTTTTGCAAAACCGCTTCGATGCTTTGAATACATGTTATCATGATTTATCATGTGAATTTTCCAATTTTGCGCAGGGGAGATGGTCTGACCCCGTTGATCCCAATTGACTGAATCCCTTCCCTCGAATCTCCAATGTTTTGCTTTGCTCATCCCATGGGCTGCCGCAGTGTGAAATAAGAGTTGAGGTGCAACAATGCCCGAGATGAAACCAATGACTCCGGGACTTGTTTCTCCCCAGCGCATGTCACTTGGACTCGACGCTGTGCTCTGGAAGTTATAGTCAAGAATATCGCGCTGATAGTTGTGAGAATAAGGGTGTGTTGAAAATGGGGTACACCGTCAAAATGACAAAGAGAGATAGGGATAATATGGGAAAATTTGAATGAATCACTGGATTTGGTATGCGGTATCCCCTATGTTAATATTCAGACATTAGATTCATGGGTTAGGTACTGCATGGCCGCATTGAGAGTGTCCAGCGACCTGATGTACCCAAGATATCCCATGGTGCCCGCTGAAATCATTGTGGTAAGCCCTCCGGGCCTCCCAGTACTCATAAGAAAACACATGGGATCTATAGAGATATTTATACTATATATATATACATCATATTTATACATCATATATATATACATCATACATATATATATATATATATTATCCCCCAGTTTTTCTAATTGCTTGGAGGGTCTAGGTTTGTGTGAGGGTATCATGCATTCAGAAACCAGTTGTTTTTGGTAAGATTCGCCAAAGTTGGCCCCACGGAACCATAAGTAATTTATATATGTTTTTGGGCGGGATCTAATGGGATCTAATGGGATCTAATGGGATGGAATATGGAGGATCTAATGGGATCTAATGGGTAACTGGTTGGTGGTTTGGAACATTTTTTATTTTCCCCAATAGTTGGGATGATGATCCAATCTGACTTTCATACTTTTCAGGGGGGTTGAAACCACCAACCAGATTTATATTATAGCCCCTTGGCCCCTTACACAATCTAACATCATCTAACTGTAAATGATATTAAATTATATTAAACTGGTTGGTGGTTTGGAGCATTTTTTAGTTTCCCCAATAGTTGGGATGATGATCCAATCTGACTTTCATATTTTTCAGCGGGGTTGAAACCACCAACCAGATTTATGTCATAGCCCCTTGGCCCCTTACATAATCTAACATCATCTAACTGTAAATGATATTAAATGATATTAAACTGGTTGGTGGTTTGGAACATTTTTTATTTTCCTCAATCTGACTTTCATATTTTTCAGCAGGGTTGAAACCACCAACCAGATTTATATTGTAGCCCCTTGGCCCCTTACATTGATCTAACATCATCTAACTGGCAATATGTCATGAATCTACCTGGGATATCTCATAGCATATGCCACCTTCGATGCCTGGGATGCAATTTAGCAACCCTATCATGGCTGACAAATTGAATCTCCAGTTTTGTTGATAATTCCATCGTACTAAATCCAGAGTTTGTGGTTTTATATACTCTACATGCCCGTAAATCAAGGTACAGTGTGGAGTTTTGATATCGCAACTTGTAACAGCTACAGCAAATCATCAACCTATGATTCCATGGGCCAGGGCTTCCACAGCAAACTGTTAAATTACCAGAGGGTATTATTTCTACAAGTTGAGTTAGTATCCCCCTAAAATCGGTGATTTTCCCAGAAGAAACCATTGAATTCGGGGATTTCCCAGCCATGTTTTGCCGGAGAGTGGTTTTCACATTTTTCCATAGTATATTCCTACATTAATCAACTTAGATATTCACCATTCCTAGCCATTATTAACCATTGCTAAGCATCATCTACCAAAATTAATTAACAATCACTGACTGTGATTAACCATTATTTATTACCCACCATCGACCATCACTAACCATCACGATTCATCATTAACCCCTATGAACCACTATTAACCAGTATTAACCACTATATAAACCATTATTAACCTTATTACTTATTACTGGTTATCAATTCATTACTAACGATTACCATGATGTTTCGTGAATCCATCATGAAAACTGATTTACCAATAAACTTATTAACCATTGAAAGATAAGCATTATCATACTGAATACTGAATGAATTATATACCAATTATGATATGGTGATAAGTAATAACCATTATTCACCATTGATAACCATATGATATCATATGATGATTATTACATGGTAATAACCATTATCATAATGATTCACCAAAATAATTATATACCTCAATGGTAATAAACCACTTACCCTCTGGTTATTTAACATAGCCATGGAAAATGGTTGATTTTCCCATTAAAACCTCCATTTATAAGGGATTTTCCATGGCTATGTTAAATAACCAGATGGTATTTTTTCATAATCCTTGGAAGACTCCAAGAATGAAGCATGATTCACCTGCCATTCCATCAAGGTCTTCCAAGGAGTCCAAGCGAAGCGAGGGCACCACCCAAGCCCGTGGTCTCAGTCGAATCTTTGGGGGATAGGGCACATTCCGGAAAGGAAACCGATAGGAAAACCATAGGAAATCATAGAAAAATTGTGATTTAACCACCAAACATGAGGGATTTAAATGGGATTTATAGCTGATTTATAACAGTTAAGTTGGTTTACAACTTCAAGAACTATGGTGAATAATACTTATCACTATACTTTATGGGGGTTGTAAACCAACAAAAAACACTGGGGGGCCCTACATTGGATAGTTATACCATGGCATATCAAGGTCTGAAAGATTATGGAAGATGCTGGAAAATTTTGGAAGGTTGAAATGGTTCTTACCATTTCTTGTACCCATGTGTTTGGAGTAAGGAATATTGATTTTCATTGATTTTCCATTTTCAGGAGGGCTGGTGATGGTTGTGTGTCTTCAAGTGTGTGTGTGTGTTCCTGGATTCTACGCATTGCAGGGTGGAAATATGTGGAAATCATTCATGCTCAAATCCGCCTGATAAATCTTTCGCACCATTCTTACTGGCCTTAACAGATGCTCGTTTGTGGAGCATCTGAGCATTTGCACAGCATCAGAATTCTCACTGGTTGGTGGTTTGGAACATGTTTTATTTTTCCATATATTGGGAATAATCATCCCAACTGACTAAGATTTTCCAGAGGGGTAGGTCAACCATCAACCAGATCAGTTTGCAGCTAACAATCCCCCGATCTATTCCTTTGGGGCAAAAATATGGGGGTGGTATACCGAAATGTTTTAATTGACTGGCATTGACTGGCTACATTTACACACACACATATATATATATATATATGTGTGTGTGTGTATCTAATTACATATCATCTATTTGCATATATACACATACTGTAATAACAATTTCAGGATGGTTAGCCTCATTGTTTGATGGTTAACTTCCCATCTTTGACGGTTTCATTCACCCTTTGGCATGAGCCTCTTCAAACCCTCACCATGTCTTGGGGCAAAACTCACTGTGATATGGGATCACATGGCCAGTCGTGGACACATAACGCTGTCTATTGAGCTCAAAAGGACAATATTCATGACATCAGCATTTGGAGCCCCAATGATGTTCCCTTCCAAGAATTGGACCAACTTCTTGGTGATCAAATATGATGAAATCATCAAATCAGTCAGTTTCCTCCAGATTTTCCCTTAACCCAACCCATTGTTCCCAGCTTCCGCGCTGCTTTTGAATCCCGAGGAGTCAACAGCGGTGGGCGGCAACTCTCCGCGTGCCTCGTGCTGCTCCGAGGCGCATCGATTTTCCCACTTGGGATGAGAATCCCCGATGACTGCTATGTTCTTCATGGGTTGAGCACTCTTCCCACTATAGTCACTAGATCTTGGGCATCCTGAGGCCGTGCTGTGGTTGGTTTTGGAGATTTTGAATTCTGTCCCTCACAATGCTTAAGCGGCAAGAAACTGTGGGCAAGGCGATTCCTGTGATGCCATGTCATTTCCCTATGATATCCCAATATATATCGGCATCAAAAGTGGTGGTTAAATCACCATTTCCAGTGGAAAGAGCCTATTTTACTGGGATGAGCCCCCAAGGTAACCTGCCAGCATTTGGCCAGGCAAGTCAGCCAGTGGAGAAGACTGGACCAACTTTGCCCTTGCAGAAGCGTGAGAATGTTGCCTGGTGTGTAACTTGGCTCTATGGATCCATGAAAAGCCTAGCATGGAAGCCCCCCAAAACAATATAAAACAATGGGAATTGAATTGAGAAATAGAGAAACATGTTAAAACCATGTTTTGTTATGGAAATCATGTCTAAATATGGTTTTCATATTGTTTTCATGGTTTTATGGAACATTTTTAAATAGGGTTTTCATTGCCATGTTGGACTACTTGAGGGTAGTAGAAGCAACGGAACCGGCAGCTCCGCATGTGCCAGGATATCAAAGACGAGGAGCACCAGGGGGACCATGGGGAAGCCAACATGATTTTATATATGTATACGTATGTTCCTATATTGATATCTATATTATGGGATGATTTTCCAGTATGTTCCTAAGAATTGGATGATTTTCCATATGTTCAACTGTATTATATGAAGAATTCAGAGCACCAGCCCGTTGCAGCAAGGGCTCGTTTTTAGCTCGTCAGCTCGTTCCGGGAAATCCATGAATATCCATTTTTTCGTCAGGAGGAATTTGAAGATTTTGGAGACTCCTTGCCCATCTCTCCGTGGGGACGTCAGACGGATGCAGGGCATGGCTCGACATGGCACTGCAGAGAGGTGAATAGCATACCTTGCCTGGCGCGGACTAAACAGGATAAACAGGGATGTTCAGATTTTCAGGATGGTTGGAGACTTTGTGCGACAACGGCGACAACCGTTGATGAACTATATATACATCTATATGCAATATTATATAATATTATATGCACGTTCATGGTTTATGCTTTAGCCAGCTCAGATGTTCACCATCCCAAGAAGATTCTTCGGTTTAAAGACATGTCGTACCCTGGCACGATTGTGCACACATACAAATCCCCATATTCTATGTCTATATACATATATCTATACATATATATATAGATACGATATATACACATGCATAAACATACTATGCATATATAGTTGGTTTTAAGATGTTATAAGGTGTGTTTAATAAATAATCATTCAGATAATACAATAAATAAGTATATATACATATTCTCCAAGTCATCACCATTGTTATTAGTGCTATTTAAAAAAATGCAATCCCCAAATTAACCCCCACTGACTAGAGATATACCCCATGAACTCCTCCAGACCTCGTCCTTTTTCAGGTCCGTGAAGAGCACCGCCACAACCCCATCACGCAGCGGCCGCCGCGCTGAACGCCGGGCCCGCCGTCGCAAGGAAGCGCAGAAGGTGCTGAGCGGGGCCCGCGGAGCCCTGGGGAGTGCAGGAAGTGGTGGAAAAAGTTGGGAAAAAACAGGAAATCATGGGAATCTATGTTTTTCTTGGGTGGGGAATTTCCTGCCTAGGGGAAATTTCTGAGAATTTCCATGTTGGAGTTGGGGGATGGTTAATTTGACAATAGCCCCTATAGCCCAAATTCTCAGGTCTTTGGTGCATTCAATGCAATGGGCTACTAGCTGTTACCAGCTATAATGACCTTGCAAGACATGGTGCCCACGCCAGATTCATCAACTAGGACTTGATTTATCCATATTTATCCACCATTCTATCGGCCAATGGTTGCTTGGCCGTTGGGGTCGAGTTTTTTAGAATTCTCGAAAGGTAGCCTGGTACAGGGATTGCAACATTTGGCACGGCATCGGCATTGCCAGCCACTGGGATTCCAAAAAAACACCGCAACAGCCGTGGTTGGCTTGGATTTGCTTACCATTGGATCCCATTGGCTTATTGGATCAAGAGGGCCGGTTGCACAGGTCACAGGGTGCAAGAAAGCCATGATTTCATCGCGGCATATGGGGGTCATGGACTCATGGGCTCATGGACCATCAACTGGGTCATTTTACATCACCCCATATAAGGTTTGACTCCCTCAACTACCATTGGGGATGGTTTTTGGTGGAACTGCACCAGAATCTCGGTATTTTCCCATAATAATACATTAAAAAAAACATAAATCATCCTATAATAAAACATAGTAAAACCCATAAAATAATAATAAACCCACCATTCCCCATCTACCACTGGGCTTCCCACATGGCACCGGTTTTTGTCATTGGAGGCTGCGCAACAGCAAGTGAATTCTCGCGGATCTGCCGTCACCTTCGCGGTGGGGGAACCGAGCTGTGGGTGATGATGGTTGATGGATGAGAATCAGAAGGGGAATTTGTGTGGAAATGGAGTATTTGACCGTTTGACCCACAAGAATTGTGAATAGATTTCGGAAGTTTTGAGCCATTGGCATTGTGAGACATTGCTTGCTTGATCAAACATAGGAATGTCTGGCCAAACGTTTGATAGCGTATATAGAACTATGCATTATGATCCTGCCGGTTGCAGTCCATGTTTCTTCAGTAGGTGCCCGCTCACCCTAGTCAGTGTGACTGCAAACTTCCTTTTCGGGAGGGCCATCCCAATTTGTGAAGGCCTTTGTGGGAGCTGTAAACCAATGGTAAACCAACTATTTGGATAGTTTTTTTTTTGGTTTACCTCCGACGTATGATAAGATACTCTTGTGTGCTACCACCTTTCAAATGAATCATAAATTTAGGTGAGAAAAGATAGAGACTCCACGCGTTTTCCAGCGCTCTTTGCGGAGGAGCTCGGCGTGGAGTGCAATCAGACAATGCCAGGTGGGGAGTGACAGAATATCACCTGTGGTTCCCACGACCCAGTCATGAATCAAAGTGATATGTGTTGGCTGTGATTAGCATGATTAACACTGAATTTCCATCAACTTCCACAAAAACTGGTGCGTTTTACGCAGGGAATTTTCGGGAATGATCCACCGGCTAACTATCAATTTCATCATCCCAGCAACCCCCAGCAACCCATCCAGCAACCCATCCAGCAACCCTACGTAAAACGCACCAGTAAGTCCAATTGATTGCCATGACGCACCTTCATGAGCAGAATTCCCGATGGTTCCCGTTCGAGGCATGACGCCTTTGGAAGGAAATTGGCCAGGCGGGGCCGGTTTTTCCATGGTTTATCCATAGGATTCAACTGGGATATACTGGGGATTCACATAGATTTCCCATGCATTCCCAGATATTTCTTTAGATTGCTGCTGGTGTATCGTATATATCATCAGTTTTATCATCAGTTTGATGCTGGATTTTTTTTATATATTTGGGATAGAACTGATACTGGGATATCAGTTTGATCAATTCCCCATGATCTACAGATAGATAGATAGATTAGATTAGATTAGATTAGATTAGATTAGGATAGATAGATAGATAGATAGGTAGATAGATAAGATAGATAGATTAGGTAGATAGGATAGACTAGGTAGATAGGATAGATTAGGTAGATAGGATAGCTTAGATTAGATTAGATAGATAGATAGATAGAAGGATAGGATAGGATAGTTTTTGGATAGGATAGGATAGGATAGATAGATAGGATAGATAGGACAGATAGGACAGATAGGATAGATAGGATGGATAGGATAGATAGGATAGATAGGATAGATAGGATAGATAGGATAGATAGGGTATGTAGGATATATAGGATAGATAGGATAGATAGGATAGATAGGATAGATTAGATAGATTAGATAGATTAGATAGCCTAGATAGACTAGATAGGTTAGATAGATTAGAAAGATTAGATAGATTAGATAGATCAGATAGATTAGATAGATTAGATAGATAGATTAGATAGATTAGATAGATAGATAGATTGATAGATTAGATATATAGATAGATAGATAGATTAGATTAGATTAGATTAGATGGATTAGATAGATTAGCTAGATTAGCTAGATTAGCTAGATTAGATAGATTAGATAGATTAGATTAGATAGATTAGATAGATTAGATAGATTAGATAGATTAGATAGATAGATAGATTAGATTAGATTAGATTAGATTAGATTAGATAGATTAGATAGATTAGATAGATTAGATAGATTAGATATATATATATAGATAGATAGATAGATAGATGGATAGATAGATAGATAGATAGATAGATTAGATAGATTAGATAGATAGATAGATAAGATAAGATAAGATAAGATTGGATAGATTAGATAGATTAGATAGATTAGATAGATTAGATAGATTAGATAGATTAGATAGATTAGATTAGATAGATTAGATAGATTAGATAGATAGATAGATAGATAGATGCATAGATGGATAGATGGATAGATGGATAGATGGATAGATGGATAGATGGATAGATGGATAGATGGATAGATGGAAAGATGGAAAGATGGATAGATGGATAGATGGATAGATGGATAGATGGATAGATGGATAGATGGATAGATGGATAGATGGATAGATGGATAGATGGATAGATAGATAGATAGATAGGTAGATAGGTAGATAGGTAGATAGGTAGATAGATAGATAGATAGATTAGTTAGATTAGTTAGATTAGTTAGACTAGTTAGATAGATTGATAATTAGATAGATAGATAATTAGATAGATAGGATAGGATAGGATTGGATAGGATAGGATAGATTAGATAGATAGATAGATAGACAGATAGATAGACAGATAGACGGATAGACAGATAGACAGATAGGCAGATAGATAGATAGATAGATAGACAGATAGGCAGATAGATAGATAGATTGATCATGATACTCTTCAGTAAATTAACATGACGACCCTGGCAGATAGGGGTTGGTTCAGTTTCGTTTCCACCAAACATGGGTTTTCAAATCAGGGTTTGATCATTTGCTGGAGGGTTTACAAGGTAAATCAGCTATAAATTGCCATTATGCATAGCTATATTTTTCATGACCAGATGGTAAATCATCTTAAATTGCCATTAAATCATCATCAAATTACCACTAAACCACCATTTCATGGTATTTTCCTATGGTTTCCCTGTGGTTTTCCTATGAGTAATGGTTTAATCAACGTTGCTTCGCTTGCAGGTATCATGAGCACTGCCCCTGCGGAGCCCAAGGCTGCCCTGTTCCTTCCACCAGGCTCCGATCCCGGGAGATTAGATAGATATGATACGATAGATTTATAGAATTCTATAGATTAGATTGTGATATAGTGTGATTAGAATTTAGATGGTTTTAGGTTTTTAGATTTTAGATGTTGATTTGACTATAGTTCTAATAGATAGGTTTGGAGTCTATTTCGCTGCTGGTTGGCGATTCAGACGTGTTTTTGCGTCAACTTCATCGAATGATGAGCCCGCAACGATTGTCCCGTGTTCTGTCCTGAGGTGCGTTGAGCTACACCGGCTGCTCGCCCACCGCCAAGCCATGTGATGCCTCAGCCAGGCACAGCTGCGATGCTGTTGGCGCATGTTGGCGCCATCATTTTGTGGTGGCATAAGTGTGGAAGCAACATCATCATCATGATCATCATCATCATGATCATGATCATCATCATCATCATCATCGTCATCATCATCGTCATCATCTCATCATCATCGTCATCATCGTCGTCATCGTCGTCATCATCGTCATCATCATCATCATCATCAAGCTTTCCATCTATGAGGATCCAACTACGTATAACCTCACACTGCCAAATCTTGCAGTGGAGCCAAGGCCTTTCAGATTTGCAGAGCAAACGGCACAGATCCTGCGGGACCACCCAGGATTCCCCACTAAGACCCCCATTGTTTCACCGAACTGTGAGACATTGATACAAAATGCAATAGATACAGCATATGTATTGCATATGTAATTTGTAACATGCCACGTGTAAGATATAACATGATATGATATAATGCATAATATCAATAATAATAATGATGATAATAATTGTTATTATTATTATATATTTATATTTATATTTACATACACAGAGAGACAGGGAGAGACCAGATATACATATCAAATACAAGTATATACTAGTATCTATACATCTTGTTTATATGTAAATATATATATATAATATATACAGACTTCATATCGTATATATAGCGTAACTATACCTACAGCCGTGAAGCAGCCTGGCCTGTGGGTTGCCCAAAAACGAGGGCCACCGTCGCAGGGGATACCCTTACGCCTCACCACCTGCCGCCGTGGCCTCACCGGATGCCAAACGTTTGCTGCTGGCCACGTCGCCCAAGGTGCTGGTCGGAATGGTCGAACGGATTGAGCATGGGATTTTTAAAGATGTTTTTAATGAATTCAATAAGGGAATTTAATGGAACTGCAATATATATTTTTTGATAGATAACGGATTTAAGGTATTTTGTTGTTTTTTCATGGGATTGCGATGGGATTGAATGGTTTAACGGGATTCATCACCGGTCCAAAGCCGATTCAGAAACTAACGGCGATTCAGAAACTACGATTCAGAAACTATTTCCACCGATTCAGAAACTATTGCGATTCAGAAACTATCGCGATTCCGACACTATCGCGATTCAGAAACTACGATTCAGAAACTATCGCGATTCAGAAACTACGATTCAGAAACTAACGCGCTTCAGAAACGACGATTCAGAAACCAACGCGATTCAGAAACTGCGATTCAGAAACTAACGCGATTCAGAAAAACTATGGCGATTCAGAAACTAACGCAAAAATTCAGAAACTATCGCGATTCAGAAACTATCGCTCTTCAGAAACTACGCTTCAGGAACTATATCGCGATTCAGAAACTATCGCGATTCAGAAACCAACGCGATTCAGAAACTACGATTCAGAAACCAACGCGATTCAGATACTATCGCGGTTCAGAAACGAACGCGATTCAGAAACTATCGCGATTCAGAAACTATCGAGATTCAGAAACTACCGCGATTCAGAAACTACGATCCAGAAACTAACGCGATTCAGCAACTAACGCCATTCAGAAACTACGATTCACACACTACGATTCAGAACGCGCTTCAGAAACTAAAAGGATTTTACACAAGTATAAGATGATATCACAAGTCCCCATGGAACTTCAAATTGACTTGGACTTTACACAAGGATCAGATGATATCTAAATTCCCACCCCCATGGAACTTCACGTCTGCCTTAGTCTGACTTGGAATGTCCACACGGATCAGATGATATCAAAAATCCCACCCCCATGGAACATCACATTGACTTGGAATGTCCACAAGGATCAGATGATATCAAAATTCCCACCCCCATGGAACTTCATCGATTTGGAATGTCCACAAGGGTCCGATGATATCAACATTCCCACCCCCTTGGAACTTCAAATTGACTTGGAATGTCCACAAGGATAAGATGATATCAAACTTGTCACCCCCGTGGAACTTCACATTGATTTGGAATGTCCACAAAGATCAGATGATATCAAAATCCCCACCCCCATGGAACTTCACATTGACTTGGAATGTCCACACGGATCAGATGATATCAAAAATCCCACCCCCATGGAACTTCAAATTGACTTGGAATGTCCACAAGGAAAAGATGATATCAAAATTTCCAACCCCCATGGAACTTCACATTGACTTGGATTTTCCACAAGTAAACAATGATTTCAAAATTCCTACCCCCGTGGAACTTCACATTGATTCGGAATGTCCACAAGGTTCAGATGATATGAACATTCCCACGCCCATGGAACTTCAAATTGACTTGGACTTTCCACAAGGATAAGATGATATCAAAAGTCCCACCCCCGTGGAACTTCACATTAACTTGGACTGTCCACAAGGAAAAGATGATATCAAAATTCCCATCGCCGTGGAACTTCACATTGATTTGGACTGTCCACAAGGATCAGATGATATCAAAATTCCCACTCCCATGGAACTTCACATTGACTTGGATTTTCCACAAGGATCAGATGATTTCAAAATTCCTACCCCCGTGGAACTTCACATTGATTCGGAATGTCCACAAGGATCAGATGATATGAACATTCCCACGCCCATGGAACTTCAAATTGACTTGGACTTTCCACAAGGATAAGATGATATCAAAATTCCTACCCCCATGGAACTTCACATTGACTTGGAATGCCCACACGGGTCAGATGATATCCAAATTCCAACCCCCAGGGAACTTCACATTGACTTGGAATGTCCACAAGGGTCCGATCATATCAACATTCCCACCCCCATGGAGCTTCAAATTGACTTGGATTTTCCGCAATGATAAGATGATATCAAAATTCCCACCCCCATGGAACTTCACATTGATTTGGACTGTCCACAAGGGTCCGATGATATCAAAAACCCACCCCCATGGAACTTCACATTAACTTGGATTTTCCACAATGGTAAGATGATATCAAAACTCCCACCCCCATGGAACTTCACATTGACATGGAATGTCCACAAGGATCAGATGATATCAACATTCCCACCCCCATGGAACTTCACATTGATTTGGACTGGCCACAAGTGTCCGATGATATCAACATTTCCACCCCCATGGAACTTCAAATTGACTTGGATTTTCCACAAGGATAAGATGATAGCAAAATTCCCACCCCCATGGAACTTCACATTGACTTGGATTTTCCACAATGATAAGATGATATCAACATTCCCACCCCCATGGAACTTCACATTGATTTGGACTGTCCACAAGGGTCGGATGATATCAACATTCCCACCCCCATGGAACTTCAAATTGACTGTCCACACGGATCAGATGATATCAAAATTCCCACCCCCATGGAACTTCACATTGACTTGGGATGTCCACAAGGATAAGATGATATCAAAAGTCCCACCCCCGTGGAACTTCACATTGACTTGGAATGTCCACAAGGATCAGATGATATCCAAATTCCCACCCCCATGGAACTTCAAATTGACTTGGAATGTCCACTTGGAATGTCCGCGGTGTTAGTTTCCGAATCGTAGTTTCCGAATCCACGCTTTTAGTTTCCGAATCCGCATGCTTTAGTTTCCAAATCTTAGTTTCGAATCTATGTTAGTGTTATCGAAGGTCTGCGCCAAGGTACTTTCTCGTTTGTGGTCTTGCTCAGGTCAAGTGTCTGTCTCAAGTATCCCCATTGAAACACGACGGACGACGAAAGACGACGAAGAGAAAAAAAAGAGCAAAAGGGTTTCAAGGGTTCCTCTACGGGACCTCCGGGGGAAGAAATTCCAAGGGTTCCTCTCCGGGACCTCCGGGGAGAAAAAAATAAAATAAAATAAAATAAAAAATTAAGACGGGCACATACCATTGAGAAAAACACATAGCATGTTTAATGCATATTTGCAATGTTCGGTGGCAAGTGTTCTTCCCCGGGGTATGGGTTTGTCTCCGGGATTTTAGATTTTTTTCTTTTTTTTTGCAGCCTTGAGCGCGACCCTTCACTGTGGGAAAACACTTGGCCCTGAGAAATCCTTCGAATATGGGAAAGTTTTCCAGGAATACGGCTGGGAAACCAGGACCTTTGAGGAGGGGAAAAAGAAAGCACCTTTGATACAGGGAGGAGGGTTGAGACAGGCACATACCATTGAGAAGGTAGAAAACCCTTCATCCAGACTTTTGATGTTAGTTTCCGAATCCGCGGTCTTAGTTTCCGAATCCGCGCTTTTAGTTTCCGAATCCGCGTTTCTATAGTTTCCGAATCCGTGTTTTTTGTTTCCGAATCACAGTTTCCGAATCCGCGTCTGCGTCAGTTTCCGAATCTGCGGTTTTAGTTTCCGAATCTGCGGTTTTAGTTTCCGAATCTGCGGTTTTAGTTTCCGAATCTGCGGTTTTAGTTTCCGAATCTGCGGTTTTAGTTTCCGAATCTGCGCTTTTAGTTTCCGAATCACAGTTTCCGAATCCCCATCCTCCTTAGTTTCCGAATCCTCTCTTTTTTGTTTCCGAATCTTAGTTTCCGAATCCGTGTCTGTTAGTTTCCGAACCCTAGTTTCCGAATCCGCGGTTCTAGTTTCCGAATCCGCGCGTGACCATTCATCACCAATCAAATTGACTACACCCTCCATATTGCCCTCCCAAATGAATAGAGCCAATATTAAACCAGGGTTTCGATCCGGGGTGCATGGGTAAGGGGTTAGTAAACGATCTTGAAGCATTGAACGCGCTTGGAAGCAATGAGGGAATTTACATGAAAGCATCATTATGGGTTTCGCGGACATTCTTTCGCTATTGACGCTCGACTTATACAAATCTAGACAACGGGGAGACATTTTGGATGTGTTTGGGTACCGGGTGCCTATGCTGTACTATATCCGGATGTTTATATAATCTATATATATATACATATATATATTCGGGTATTGATGGATATGTTTGCAGCGTATATCTTATGACAAGATAGGCGCAATTTGCCTGTATCTATCGGCTTCATTGCCAGAATTACCAGTACATCCTCGCAACAGCCCCCATGGAATATCACTCTTTGTGTACTAAATCACTATATATCACTATCATATATTATCCCCCATGAAACATCATTGTTTTTTGATGATTATCCACATTGTCATACCCTTTATAATTACTTCCACAATGTCCCGACTATATGTGTCTTGGTCAAAAGGTGGCTAGCCTCTGGGCTCAGGCTTCCACGTAGCGAGGTGGGGAGGTGGCCCCTTTCTAACTGAGCCATGCAGTTTTCCCACGTTCCTCCTGCTGATCCTCGAGTATGTGACCCCATTGCTTTCGGTGTGCCCCTGCCACTATCGAGTGACTTGCGTTTTGACTTTGATTGGCCTTCGGGTGGTTGCTATTGGATCTTCAGAGGTTCTGTTGTCCGGTCTTGTGGATACTTCTCATCTTTCGGCGAAATATCAGTCAGTTCCGTGGCATGGGACTGAAGTCAGGTCGCGTCCACATGACACCACAGACAGTTGCCTCTTGAAGATGACACTTGAACCATGGAGTAGATTGACGTCCGTTGTTTGCTCGCACGCCTTTGGCCTGGCCAAGCATCTTGAAATCATGACAGATGGTGGAGGTGTGATGCCAATACCTGAATGCAGGAACCCAAACCCTTATGGCATGGTGTGTGTCGTTGGATTGCTTTGCGGAGGATATTATTAAGCATGGGCTCATGTCACTCGCTTTCTGCAATGCCCTGATTTGCCGGTGACTTCAGCCTTTGCCCCGGACTTGAGCCATAAGTGTGTTCTAGCCTGCCAGCGCACTCTTGTGCATCACTTGTAGGTTCTGGCTTGTCAGTCTGACTTCGATGATGTTGATAGCTTGCCACCCGAGCTTGTCATTGAGTAGGAAGCCGTGGCCGCACAATACAAAAAGTAAAAAAACCGGAGGGCGGAACACCCCGAGTTTACCAACAGTTAGGTGCCTGCACTTTGTGACAGGTTTTTCCTTGACTTGATTTGCTTGCAGTTGATGCTTGCTTGTGCTTGTTTGCCAAAACTCTCTTGCTTGCCTTTGTGCTTGCGCTTGTTGCTGTACAGCCTTCTAAGATCTGTCATTTTCGAAGCAGCTCTGACAGTATTGCTGTTTCTGTATGCCATTGGCTTTTCACTCGGCAAGGGACGACCGCGCGACGTGGTTTGTCAACTGCTATTCTTAGTGTGACATTTCCCTGGCATACTGCCAGTACATTGTATAGTTAGCTGCGTGCTTTCCATTCTCGGTTTACCCGCCTCCTTGCACCTCGTACCCCCCTTGACCGGGAAGGGGCGTTGGTGCTGCGACTTCGTGCGCGCTGTATTCCGTCAAAAGGTGGCTGATATACCCATATTGGAGGATGGTCATCAGATGTCATCAGATGTCATCAGATGTCATCAGATGTCATCAGATGTCATCAGTCCATTTACCCTCTGGTAATTTAACATAGCTAATTATTGAAAATGGCACATGTATAGTGAATTTACCCATTGAAAATAGTGATTTTCCACAGTTATGTTAGTTTACCAAATGGTAGTAATCTCTAATAGTGGTGAGATGACCATACCCCATATATCATGATTTGACCATGGCACATATGGTTTCATACTAAATTGGCAATATCTCCCCATGTCAAGATGGTTAAACCATGTTAACCCGGCCCATGTGTGATGCTTACACCATCATCTTTGGAATCCCAGGATTCTCTTAAGGGACACTCACCAAACCACCCAAACCACCAAGCTGGTCATTGGTTAAAACTAACCCAATTACAACCCATCAGATATAATAGTACCCCCCCACCAAAAAAAAACAAATCATCAAAAGTAATTTTAAAATCATTTTTATAAATATTTACAATCATTTACAATCATTTATAATCATTTATACTTTTATAACCATCTAGAACTACAGACTCAGATTTTTTTTTTCCTCGGTGACCTGTGAGGTGGCCCCTCTGCCAGGTCACACAGGTCTATGGTGACGCCTCTGCACGCACTCCCTGCCGATCCCCACCCGCCTGGACCGCTGACGTACCTTCACCATGCAGGCCGTGGGCCCAAGGGAAAACCTGGGAAAATCTAGGGAAAATCTAGGGAAGTCAATGGTAAAGGAAGATGTTGAATGATTTTTGGATGGTTTTTCCCGGGCCAGTGATGCGTAAAGCCATTTCCCGGGCCAGTGATGCGTAAAGCCATGTTAAACCCGAGAAAGTGGGCAAGTGAAAGTGAACATCCTTGGACTCGCGCTGACTCGTTCGCAGGGCGCGGATGAATATGCGAAGTCCCTTGGCAGTGCAAAAGTGCAAACACTTTCAGCACCTGCATCAAGATGTCAATATTGTGTCTCCACCGATCATGTGAGAAGTTGTTCCTGCTTGCGCTGCCGAATGCTTCCGATATGTTCAAACTTAGTCATGTTGCGAAGGTTTAAGAGACACTCTTGCTCTTAAAATCAAGGCAGTGTTTTTCGGGACCTCTTCAATATGAGCCAAACCTTAAACAATTTACAGCCTCTGAACCAAATTTCTTCCAACAGACCGGAGAGATTTACCACCACCAGCAGCGAGATTAATAAGTTATACGATGATTTGCAGAAGTTTATTATATATATATAGACATATATAGACTGCGGTAAGTGTACCAAAATTCAATATTTAAAATATTAGCAACATTAGTACAAAATTAGTATTAGCTATATATTCAGCTATAATATAGACTAATTGTTGCTATAATTAATGTGTTCAGTTCATATTCTGGAGCTGGCGTTTGCCTAGCAGGCTTCGTGTCAGCCGCCTCGCCGAGCAGTCGCTGCCTCAGCCATGGGAGCCAGGGCGACCTCCCATGGCGAACTCTCTGAGATGGCGTTGGGGACAGAGAGATAGAGAGAGAATGAGATGGAGAGCGAGAGATAGATATATATAATATATATACTGTATATACTGTATATACTGTATATACTGTATATACTGTATATACTGTATATACTGTGTATATATATATATATGTATGTAAGCGTATCAGTGTTACAAGCTGATGCAGACCCTGTGAACCCTCCGCAGCTACATTTCTGTGGCTGTGAAGATGTTGGTTTCTTTGTAGCGGGGTATGCCCATAAAAATGCAGTTGCTGACTTTTTGGTGTTTAAAGGGAAATTTTCCACCATATATTAACCATATATTACTATAACCATATATTAACCATATATTAACCATATATTAACCATATATTAACCATACATTAACCATATATTAACCATATATTAACCATACATTATAAACCATGATAAACCATGATAAACCATGATAAACCATGATAAACCATTGGTTTTTAAGTGGTGCCTTATTTTCAGACCAACCCATTTGACTCCTGACTTGAAGTACTTTGTTGATCATTTCCCTGCTTGAAATGATCCAGACTTGACTGCCCTGGGTAAAAAAATAACATAGATAATGACAAAACCATGCAAAGCCAATGGTCTCCTCAGGAAGTGATTCATCAATGGGTTTGTTTGCAAATGGGAAATCCGCAAATTCAATGCGTTATCATCATTTTCAGAATTAAAATGGAATTCGCCGTTTTCAGACACAACCGCTCTGTTGGTTCTATCTTCATGTCCCCATTCTAGTGGGTCAAATCCAGATGTTGGTTGGTTCATTCCCTATGAAAATTGATCTCCATCATTTTCAGACAGATCCCTCACATACCCTTAACCCTCCAATGAAAATCGTGCGAAACTGTTCTATCCTTTTGGGGACCCAAAAAAAATATCGTTGGTGGGTGTTAAGGAGAAGGGATTATGATGGTTTTCATGTTCAGCTGATGATTGATGGATTCGTGAATGTCTGTGAAAACCGTTCATCCGTGATGTCGGGAGTCCAGCGCCCAGGCATGCTTCCCACCTCCCCTTCCGTGCAACCTGACCCCATGCCCGCTATGAGCCCTGTGAGTCCAGAGGTTGGGCCCCTAGGGGGTGAGTTGGGTGGAGCTATGGATGCCTTTTTTATCTGGAACGACATGGCTATGTGGCTATTTTAATGGGATTTTTTTCCAACAAAATGGGGAATGTTCATGGATTTTCCAGAAAGCCATGCTTGATTAGCGATATTAGCGGATGGCATGTGTTTTTTTTACAGACCACCAATGGCAAAATTGGGTACGTGGGGTATGGTTGGGTGGGTTTGCCACATTCGATCGACTTTTATGGCTCGGGGGGTCAATGCTGTTCTTGTTGGGGACACGTGAACCATCCCTTTTTAGATGTTGGTTATTTTGTATAGTACAGCATCCCTTTTTGAGGCACCCAGGCTTTTATACATTTCAATCCATTTCCATGCCCATGTTGCTACTCTCCCAAAATCTTCCATTTCACCAAGAAACATACCTGTTATTGTGTGTGCTGGAAAACTGGTCATTGCTGACATGTGTTTAAATAATCTTAAATCATCTAAAATCGAAGGCTGGACGTTTCAAATTACTGTATTAAATTATAATTCCTGCTGACGTTACGATAATGGGTGTGTGAACCAGCCTGGCGGAAAGTTGCAAGAGCTTTGCGACTCGCTATTGATCTTTCTAAAATCCCTGACGTGATTTCTTATATTTGTTGACACAGTGCTGACATCCAACCCAGGCCTGACAAATTAGCTTGAGCAGCTGATTTCCTCGATCAAAGTTGCCCGCTGGTTAGCCGCTACTGTACGGTTCAAGTTGGGCTTAAGACCCTCCAGCGCCCAGTGTTTTTTCTGGTGAATCCGCAGTGGAAATCATCAGAGAGAGAGAGAGAGAGAGATCTCTTAATTTTAGCTGTTTTTTTTTTCTTTTTACGAATTCCTTTTGGCCAGCCCAAAAATTGCCTTTTTCATCCAAAAGATCCCATCCCTCAGTTGCTTTTTGGGGCCCAACTGGCGGCCGGATCCCATGCGACAGCGCCTAGCCATCTTTTTTTCGCTGCTGTTGGTCACTGCGGCCTTCAGCCGCCTTGGGCAGACGCCGCTGGCCGCACCACGCACGAAGAGTGTGGCCATGGCCATCACTGTGTGGACCACGGAGGATGCAGAAGACAAGGTGCTGTAGATTTACCCATGGATTTTGCCATGAGAGGTCCATGTTCAGATCCACAAATGTAATCAAATGTATGTATAATTATATATATATATATATGCACCAGGCCCTGCCCCCCCCCCCCTCCCCCCCCCCCCATGGGATGGGTCCCATATACTGGCCCCATATGAGATCTTCCCCCTCCCCCCCTGTGGTGTGGTGGCGGTGTGGCGCTGTCCCCCTCCCCCCCCTGTGGTGTGGTGGGGGGGTGGTATGGTATGTTGGGTATGTATGGTGTGTATGGTCGGTCTGGTATGGCATGTTTGGAAAGTATGGTATGTTTGGTAGGTATGGTATGTATGGCATGAGTGGTTGGTATTGTATGGATGGTAGGTATGGTATGTAAGTCTGTTGGGTATGGTATGTTTGATATGACAGTATGTATGGTCTGTATGGTATGTATGATTACTATGATGGTATGGCATATTTCCTATGTAAGGTATGTATGGTATGTATGGCATGTATGTTTGCTATTGTATGTATCGTAGGTGTGGTAATTACATTTCATATGTATGGTATGTATGGTGTGTATGATAGATATGATAGGTATGATAGGTATGATAGGTATGATAGGTATGATAGGTATGGTATGCATGGCATCATTGATTGATTGTTCGGTACGGTATATGTTAAACACAGGTGGTGTTGTGAGAGTACACAGGTAGTAAATAGGAAGTAGATACAGTAGATACATAGCACTTGTATATATGACTATAGGTAGCACGTAGGTACTTTGAAGGAGTATATGTGCTACGTAGGTCGCCTAAAAGGTAGCATGTAGCTAGTAAATGCGAGGCTGGTAGTCAGAAATACTGCAAAGACCTAGCAAATACGAAGCTGGACCTCAGAAATGCTGCCAATAGCTTGCAAATAGAAGGGAAGGGGGGCTGCTACCTGGGGACCCAACCCATGGGGGGGGGAGGGGGGGGTGGAGAGACGGAGGACGGGACCATATATATAACATGTGTGTGTGTGTAGCGTATGCCAACATCGGATCAATTGGCCATTTTTTTTTGTCTCGTCCCATCGGTTGACAGGTGAAGAGCCTACACCTAACGGATGCTGTTGGTGAAATGGTTTGATCCTATTTGGGTTGTAAAGTTTGATGCTAAAACTGACCAAGCTTGCAAGTCCATGACACCCAATATCCCTGAATTGGTGGGACAATTTACAGGAACCCCCATATTTACATATAATCATAATTTATAGAGGTAAATTCCCCATGATTTCTTGTAGATTTTCCCTCGAACGGAGGCGCAGAAGGTGGTGGCAGCCGCTGAAAAACTGGCAGATGCGACAGTCAGAGTAGAGGAAATCAAGAGCTACTACTGGTGGGATGACAAGGCGAGCAACAACTGGGGATGTTACCGGATGTTTGCGATTTAGCGAGCAAACACATGCGCAAGAACTAGGTGTTTTTGGTGATTCTACCATGAAACAGATGTGTTTCAAAAGGGCTCTTAATCATCAAAGATCATCAAAGTTGTGAGGATCTATGATACATGATGCTCAGTTGATGGTGATTAGCACTGTTCATGGCATGTTTTAAAGGGGTACAATCAGGATATAATGGGCATAGATGGATATAAGCAACCATGTCATACAGGTTTTGAACACTGCTCAGGTGAACTTTGACCCAGAATGGAGAGTGGTGGTCACCACCACAAGTCCTTTCGACACGGTTCAGGAGGTGATTTCCAAGGTTCATAGCTATGATTTGCCCATGATTATCTATGATTTGGCGGAGTTGCCAGAAGGGACACTTGATCGAAACCGGCGAGAGTTTTTCGGATGGATGTGTAAACAATGGACATGTTGAAAACAGATCATGTGAGCCTTGCAAGCCTTGTCAGTTTCTTTCAGGGTCAGCGGTCAGCGGATCATCATGGGATCTATCCAGGATCAGCTCAGCGAACCAGCGGATCTGTGACCGTCTAGTGGATTTTGCAGAATTGTCACGGCTCTAGCATGGTTACCAAACAAAATCCATCAATCAGCTAAATCATGCTAAATCCACTAGTCATTGGTTAAATCTCCCATGTTTGATGGTTCTTCTATCCGTATTCTTGGATAATTTTGAGTGTATCTCCATGATATCCCCATTAAATATGGATCAAACCACCTTTTCTGATGTTGAAATAAGCATGGTAGCCATGGTACTTGGTTGCTCAAATCAACGCAGCATATGAAATCCCGAAAAATCCTACTTAAATCGTATATGAAGTTCATGTTTCATGGCTTACCATCTGGTTATGACTAACATAGCCATGGTATAGATGGCCCATTGAAATAGATGTTTTACCGTTTACCTATTAAAAATGGTGATTTTCCATGGCTATGTTAAATAACCAGATGATATATGAAATCCATGTTTCATGGCTGAGTTCCTTTTTTTCTTGGGTGGCTTGTCTGAAAAATCTGAAAATAGTGCCCCCTAAATCCATTGGATGGTCATCATGTCCCTATTCACTCACTATCGATGATTAGGCATACTAACCATTTTTTTAGACACCAAAATACCATAATTCATTGCTTAAGTCTTAAGTCTTTATGTTGGGTCCTTAAAAACCATGTTCAACCACCATTGATCAGCATTTTCGGAACCCGAACTCGGGTTCCCGACATCCCCCCCTTTGTCCCCGCGCCAAGGCATGCGTATTGGAAGGGTGTCCTCTCGCTTGGCGAAGACGCCATCGCCACGGCTGAGACGTTGGTGGAGCAGCGGATCGTGGCATGCGCCCAAGCGGCTCCGGACGGACGCCAAGCAGCCGAAGTGGGGATGGAAAGACTGGAGGATCTAATGCGATCTAATGGGTAATATAATTAATATCCTATTAATGGGGATTATCATGGCATTATCATGGGTATTATCTAATCTAATGGGGATTATCATGGATTATCTAATGGGTAAAAATGAGTATAGTCCATGATAACCCATGATAGCTGAAGTAGTATTATAATTAATTACTGGTTGGTGGTTTGGAACATAGTTTTTATTTTCCATTTTATATATGGGATGTCATCCTTCCCATTGACCAATATTTTTCAGAGGGGTTGAAACCACCAACCAGGTAAATATGAGTATAGTCTATGATACCCTCTGGTAAACGTTTACATAGCGAGCCGGAAATTCACTATTTTTGATAGGTAAATCAACTATTTATATGTGCCATTTTCAATAGCAAACTGTTAAATTACCAGAGGGTAATCCATGGGTAAATATGAGTATCTTTAGAAATGGGGATTATCATGGATTATCATGGATTCATACAAGGAAATGATAGGAAATGGGGAGTTGACGATCTAACATCAACAATGAAGATTAGCTAAGTTGGTAGACATGACTCCAAGTTCACTAGGGTTGTTGGTAGACATAGCTCCAATAACTCGGGTTTTCCTGGGGGATATAACGTGGAATACCAATGATCATTTCCAAGTCCAAATCAAACCAGTTTTGGGTGGCAAAAAGAATCTTGATAATCTTGCGGTTCCCACCTGGCACTTTTTGATACTTTTTGGCATGTTTTCTTCTGGGATCCCAATCTTCACGAGGAACCTTAGCTGTCAAGACCATGGCACCTTGCAAAGCCCTGGTGGAAGAACATGCCTCCAAGACTGGTCGCAGCGTGTCATGGACAGCGATCAATGGCAATGAGGGCTATTTGACGTGGATGAAGGGCGAATGCACTGGATGTAAATAGTGTTTTGCAGTTTGAAGACTTGCTGGTTGGTTGTTTTTATTTTTTGTTTTCGGCCCGCATTTGGATGTTTGGATGTATTTGATGATGATTCCCCAGTGGCTAATATTAGCTTGGAATCGCTGAACCACCACCAATCACTTTGTGGTGGTGGTTTTAAACAATCCAATGACTATTTTTTCCATATCATGCCACATCAACACGTGGGGCATCCCCATCTTTGACCAAGATATCCGAATGATGAAACCAACCGGGCAGTACTTTGAAAGATTTGCGCAGCCACCAGATGCTGCCAGCACAGTTGTTACTAGTTGTGTTGTGAGAGATGGACGGTGGGATGAGAACTGGACAGTTGGAGGGAAAGTTCTGTGCCTTTGATCATGCATTTAAGATACAAAATATCTATGGATATTTGGTCTGTCTGAATTGATGTACCAACATAAGTCAGTTTCATTGACATATATATATATAAATATACAGTATTGAGGTACTGTAGAACATTCTAGATCTCAAACATGTTGAACAAACATAATCATTTATTACATACAGTAGAAGCCCACTGCGAAGATGTTTGAGAGACAGTAAAGCTGAGTGCTGTGGAAAAAGGAGTTTCTTCTCACTTAGGTGGCTGGGTATTTGCGGGTGCAATGCTTGATGGTTTTGATTCATCCAGAAATATGACATAATATGACCATATTTTAGTCAGTCATGTGGATTTCATGGGATCCTTCCAGCATTTCCAGTTCCAACGGATCATCATCACATTTCCCATTCGAGATGGCATTTTTTGGGTACCCATTCTTGATCCTGGCAGGGTTGAAGGCACCTAATGGCAGCCTGCTCGTAGATTGCATTTCCAACTTGTTGAGTTGTGTGAGTTCCTCCTGTCCTATATGTTTGTTGGGAAGGTGACTTTTGCCCGATGGTATAATTACCACCCATACTTCATCATACTCCTGCAATTGTTTACTGCAAATATTTGCAAATATCTGCAAATAGAATTGCCCAAATAGAAAAAAGAGAGAGAGAGAGGGAATCAGCGAAGGCCATTTCGAACCCAGTCAATACATCTGAAGATACCCTTACATCATGATTAAGAATGCCCTCAATCCAAGGGTTTTTTCTCTGGGAATATGGACAGTAAGCCCCCAGATGTTGCATTTGGGGGTAAAATTGGCGCAGTTTCCGTTTCCAACAAGTTCAGTTTTATTGTTTAAACTTGAATAAATCCCTCATTTTTGCTCTTGTACTCCCATATGATTGGCTATATCAAGTTATATAATGTTAGATATATGTATATATCCCCATGATATCCCAGGCCCATGATTTCCCATTAATTACATCAGTCAAATCCCCACGTAAGCTGTTGGCAGGTGACTACGCTGCGTCAGCTCTTGGGATCTCAGGACGGGCAAAAAATCCTAGGAATGGCAGCTGAAGATATACCCTCTGGTAATTCAACATAGCTATGGAAAATGGCCATTTATACTGAGTTTTCCCATTAAAAATGGTGATTTTCCATAGCTACGTTAAATTACCAGAGAGTATATCTTCTATCGTATGTAAAAAAGGGATGGTGAGGGGATGGTGATGGTGATTTTTTGCAGATCATTTTTGTCACATGGGATAAGAAAATGAACTATAATCTGGTTGGTGGCTTCGAACATGGCTTTTATTTTCCATTTCATGTATGGGATGTCATCCTTCCCATTGACTAGTATTTTTCAACGTGGTTGAAACCACCAACCAGATACAGTTACCAACAGTTAGTGTTTGCAGACTATATTAGGTACCAGTGACTTAGGACTTGTGAAAGATACCCTGGGGTGGGCAAGTCCTATCTCATCATGCTTCAGACCCCCCCTGCACAAGTCCTAACTCATCAGGTGTCCGTATGAGATTAGAAACTATGCTAGATTTTTTTTGTGCGGCATGGACCACTCGTAAAACCAGGATGACATAGGAATTAACTAGCAGAAGTATACTAAGATGATCCTAAGTCATCACGCTCGTGCGCTGCAGCTATTTGGCTTCCCGTTTGTGTTTCCCGTTGCACTACCCCGTTTTTGGGTCGAAGTCCTCGAGCCAATCGTTGAAAAAATGATGACTTAGGACTTGTGCCCATCCTCAAAAAAAATATTTCACAAAAATCTGTGATTTTCCATTTTTTCCTTCGATTTATATACAGAAAGTATTTTAAAGCAATTAAATAAATTGAAAAATATAAATATTTTTTTTTTCACTTTTCATTTTTCTCTGTTGTTTCCCGTTTTGTTTCCCCGTTGTGCTTCCCTATTGTATTCCCCGTTGCACTACCCCGTCGTTGGGTCGAAGTCCTCGAGCCTGCCTTTCCGCCAACGCGCGCGAGAGGCTGGCCCGAGGACTTCGACCCGGTTCCCCGAGATCCAGTGCCAGCTCTCAGCCGGAAACCACAACGGGGTGTTAACGGGGAAATGATGCAAAATGAGAAATGTCAAAAAAATGAAAATGACAGATTTTTGAAAACTAGAAAAAACTGCTTTTGTAACATAGTGAAATGTTAAAGTGCATATCTATCTGAAAAAAATCACAGATTTTTGTGACATATTTTTTTTGAAGATGGGCACGAGTCCTAAGTCATCATTTTTTCAACGATTGGCTCGAGGACTTCGACCCAACGACGGGGTAGTGCAACGGGGAATACAATAGGGAAGCACAACGGGGAAACAAAACTCGAAACAACAGAGAAAAATAAAAAGTGAAAAAAAAATATTTATATTTTTCAATTTATTGAATTGCTTTAAAATACTTTCTGTATATAAATCGAAGGAAAAAATGGAAAATCACAGATTTTTGTGACATATTTTTTTTGAAGATGGGCACAAGTCCTAAGTCATCATTTTTTCAACGATTGGCTCGAGGACTTCGACCCAACGACGGGGTAGTGCAACGGGGAATACAATAGGGAAGCACAACGGGGAAACAAAACGGGAAACAACAGAGAAAAATGAAAAGTGAAAAAAAAATATTTATATTTTTCAATTTATTTAATTGCTTTAAAATACTTTCTGTATATAAATCGAAGGAAAAAATGGAAAATCACAGATTTTTGTGAAATATTTTTTTTGAGGATGGGCACAAGTCCTAAGTCATCATTTTTTCAACGATTGGCTCGAGGACTTCGACCCAACGACGGGGTAGTGCAACGGGGAATACAATAGGGAAGCACAACGGGGAAACAAAACGGGAAACAACAGAGAAAAATGAAAAGTGAAAAAAAAATAAAATATTTTTCAATTTATTTAATTGCTTTAAAATACTTCCTGTATATAAATCGAAGGAAAAAATGGAAAATCACAGATTTTTGTGAAATATTTTTTTTGAAGATGGGCACAAGTCCTAAGTCATCATTTTTTCAACGATTGGCTCGAGGTCTTCGACCCAACGACGGGGTAGTGCAACGGGGAATACAATAGAGAAGCACAACGGGGAAACAAAACGGGAAACAACAGAGAAAAATGAAAAGTGAAAAAAAAAATATTTATATTTTTCAATTTATTTAATTGCTTTAAAATACTTTCTGTATATAAATCGAAGGAAAAAATGGAAAATCACAGATTTTTGTGAAATATTTTTTTTGAAGATGGGCACAAGTCCTAAGTCATCATTTTTTCAACGATTGGCTCGAGGACTTCGACCCAACGACGGGGTAGTGCAACGGGGAATACAATAGGGAAGCACAACGGGGAAACAAAACGGGAAACAACAGAGAAAAATGAAAAGTGAAAAAAAAATATATATATATATTTTCAATTTATTTAATTGCTTTAAAATACTTTCTGTATATAAATCGAAGGAAAAAATGGAAAATCACAGATTTTTGTGAAATATTTTTTTTGAAGATGGGCACAAGTCCTAAGTCATCATTTTTTCAACGATTGGCTCGAGGACTTCGACCCAACGACGGGGTAGTGCAACGGGGACCACTTCCCGTTGTGTTTCCCTATTGTGGTTCCCGTTGCACTACCCCGTTTTTGGGTCGAAGTCCTCGAGCCAATCGTTGAAAAAATGATGACTTAGGACTTGTGCCCATCTTCAAAAAATATTTCACAAAAATCTGTGATTTTCCATTTTTTCCTTCGATTTATATACAGAAAGTATTTTAAAGCAATTAAATAAATTGAAAAATATAAATATTTTTTTTTTCACTTTTCATTTTTCTCTGTTGTTTCCCGTTTTGTTTCCCCGTTGTGCTTCCCTATTGTATTCCCCGTTGCACTACCCCGTCGTTGGGTCGAAGTCCTCGAGCCTGCCTTTCCGCCAACGCGCGCGAGAGGCTGGCCCGAGGACTTCGACCCGGTTCCCCGAGATCCAGTGCCAGCTCTCAGCCGGAAACCACAACGGGGTGTTAACAGGGAAATGATGCAAAATGAGAAATGTCAAAAAAATGAAAATGACAGATTTTTGAAAACTAGAAAAAACTGTTTTTGTAACATAGTGAAATGTTAAAATTTGTGCATATCTATCTGAAAAAAAATCACATATTTTTGTGACATATTTTTTTTGAAGATGGGCACAAGTCCTAAGTCATCATTTTTTCAACGATTGGCTCGAGGACTTCGACCCAACGACGGGGTAGTGCAACGGGGAATACAATAGGGAAGCACAACGGTTTTTTCCTTCGATTTATATACAGACAGTATTTTCAAGCAGTTAAATAAATTGAAAAATATTGAAGAATGTATTGGGATGTAATGTACTGTATTGTAATGTAATGTAAGATATGTATGTACGTTCTGATGACTTAGGACTTGTGCCCCTCTGGTGACGGACGCTTTCCAAGTCCTTTGCATCTATGTACTGTAATGTACTGTACTGTAATGTACAGTAAATACTGTACTGTAATGTACTGTAAGTATGTAGGTCCTGATGACTTAGGACTTGTGCCCCTCTAGTGGCATACGATTTTGTGCACCAAGTCCTATGCATGCATGTAGTGTAATGTATTGTACTGTAATTGATGTAATGTACTGTAGTGTAATGTAATGTAATGTACTGTAATGTACTGTAAGTATGTAGGTTCTGATGACTTAGGACTTGTGCCCCTCTGGTGACATA